AGTATACCTGGCTTTCGATAACTCTCAGTTGACCAAAAAAAAAATCTTAAAGTCAATCTTCCAAGGAGAAATAAAAAACAATAGGCCATGTTGATAAAAATCTGAAATGAGTTTATATTTTATGTTAGATCTAGGCATACATAGAGTGAATAAATAAAGAGGAATTTATATTTGTAGCGTCTGTTTAAATGCTACAAAATATGGTCACGTACGTTCGTTACATACCATCACACATGTCTTCTCTTTTTGTAGAAAATTGAATAGTGATGTGAGGAAAGGACCCATAGATCCCACAGGTTTTCTCGGCGTTAAATACCTCTCAGCTAACATATTTTGAAATACTGAGGTGGCAACGTGTGGACTTTTTTCTGGAACATCCCATGACTCATCAATGTTGTTAGAAGACCGATGTTCTGTGGATACATCGATGCAAGCTTCGTTTTGCGAGTTGTCAACTGGCGTTAGGGAAGAAGTGAATAGAAACCATTTTTGGAAAGAGGTTGTGAAAGGTAAAGTAAAAATATCACAAGAGTACAAAAAAGCCACTAGGGCGACACATACGGAGATTGTAGTGTACAGTTTCAAATCGAGTACGGGCATTATAGCATTGGTAAAAATTCAGAATTCAATAGACAGGAAGGAATTTAAAATTCGCAAATCTAAAACGATAGATCATTTTGATTGGCCGACAACCAAATTTTACACAATGAAATAGCAAAATGCACGTGACCGAGAATCACATATGGTGGTCGGCTAAAGCGGAGTGTAGTTTAGGGTTACCTTTTTGACACAGTTATGGTTAGTGGGTTATATAGATATCAAGAATATAACTTATGCAGCATGTAGATCATTAACTCCGCCCCACATATGTACAGTACATACTAGTGCAGGTGCATTTGGGGCTGTAACCCCAAACTCTTGCCAAATCCCAAATCTCCCAAATCCCAAATCCCATTCCAAATCCCAAGTTTTCGAATCTAAATCTCAATCCAAATTTTAATTGTAATACAACCCTCTAACTAAATTAAGTATACAAGATAAAATAAATACATTTATTACAGTATCAAATGATGGCTTAGTAAAAGTTACCTTCTAGAGAGCAATTTAATGAAGTCATCATGGAATTGTTTAGAATAACCTTG